GTGATCTGTCTTTGTGCGTATCAGTGTAAAGCCACAGAATGGGCTATCTGTGCTCTGTCTTTGTGCGTATCAGTGTAAAGCCACAGAATGGTCTATCTGTGCTCTGTCTTTGTGCGTATCAGTGTAAAGCCACAGAATGGTCTATCTGTGTTCTGTCTTTGTGCGTATTAGTGTAAAGCCACAGAATAGGCTATCTGTGCTCTGTCTTTATGCGTATTAGTGTAAAGCCACAGAATGGGCTATCTGTGCCCTGTCTTTGTGCGTATTAGTGTAAAGCCACAGAATGGGCTATCTGTGCTCTGTCTTTCGCGGAGAATCGAATACTGGATTTTAGGATTGTAAGTGTGCAAAATTACCACTGACTCACCGGGGACTTAAATATAGTGAAAATATAAAGGGAGTCTTCTAAAAATAGTAACCTTACCTTAGTTATGACACAAAAGTTTCCAATTTTTTTGATCAAGTGTGTAATTGTTTTTACTATACATGTTTGTAAATAAGATCCCGAAATTGTTCCCGAGTGGATTGCAACACTGGTACTGTTAAGAATGATTTCGCTTGACGAATTTTCACGATCAACTGTAACAGAACGCGCAATTTTATATATGGAAAAATGAAATTGAGGTATGATTTGTTTGTTTTTGAATTTCGCGCAAAGCTACACGAGGGCTATCTGCGCTAGCCGTCCCTAATTTAGCAGTGTAAGACTAGAGGGAAGTCAGATAACCATCATCACCCACCACCAACTCTTGAGCTACTCTTTTACTAACGAATAGTGGGATTGACCGTCACATTATAACGTCCCCACTGCTGAAAGGGCGAGCATGTTTGGTGGAACGGGGATTCGAATCCGTGATCCTCAAATTGCGAGTCGACCGCCCTAACCACCTGGCCATGCCGGGCCCACCTATATATTTCTGAGTTATTTCGTGTATTTCTAAAGTCAGCTCTAAATATACACTCTGTATATTTCTATATTAGTTCGTGTATTCCTAAAGTCAGGTCCAAATATACACACTGTATATTTCTGTATTATTTCATGTATTCCTAAAGTCAGCTCCAAGTATACACACTGTACATTTCTGTATTATTTCGTGTATTCCTAAAGTCAACTGCAAGTATACACACTGTATATTTCTGTATTATTTCGTGTATTCCTAAAGTCAGCTCCAAGTATACTCACTGGAGATGCGCTATCCACGTTTATTATTGAATCAAATTACCGTAATCTCAACTCTGTTAAAACAAACAAACAAACCTTACAAATTCATTCTCTGGACCTTTTTGTTTACTAACTTCTTACGTAAAACTACATACATTATTATTGTTGTTGTGCAGGATAATTAAGCAGCAATATTCATTTTGAAAAGGTGTAATGCTTTATTTACACGTTAATGTATTTCAGTTTAAGTCAACTTTAAAACTCTGTTTAAAGTGTCCTGATGACTATGGAACCATATTTATTTATCATTAAAACGATAAAGATTTTATTCACCAGAGACTTCAAGAACACCTGCGATGTTCAGCCAGATATTGTATATATGTACTTAATCCGCAGTTGCACAGCAGAGGATACCGCTGCACGTACTCGTAAATCAGTTTTCTCATCCATGTTTCACGTACTTCCGCGTTTTTAGGTTTTTAGCTGTGTAAAGGGTGTTAACCTTGCTTCTCATTGATCAGTTTCATTGGAGCACGCGGTGAGAAAAAATAGAAACAGGTTCTATTTCAGTGGCGCCGCTTGCGCTGCACGTGAGGTGTGTGGATTCTTCATTACCTGCAGTCACTTCTAAAAATTTCGCCCGCACCGCTCATGTCCAGGGACGTGGCTTCACGTGTTCCGTAAATTGTAGTATGACAATCAGTGGCGGCGCTAGACATAAGCAGACTGAGCTATTCCTTAGGGCCCCAAACAGTTCAATATGTCTCTGATTTACGGGGATTTTGTCATCAAATCATTGACTTTTGCTTGTTTGAGTATTGTACCCATTTGGAAAAAAAAGTGTTTTCAATTAAATCAATCCAAAAACACTTCACTTAGTAACGGATGGACTTTTAAAAATTGCAACAGTTAGACACTTCTCAATCCAGCACTCGTGCGGTGCGAGTGCGTTGATTGGTTCCTAAGTGCTGTATAAACACACACACAGCGTGCATAATTTAAGCACAGTGGTGTTTGTGTGCGAGTAGAAATCACTTTTTAATAAGTGTATTCGTTTTTATTGTGTTGGCGTATTTTTAGTTTGAGGGAATGTTGTACTTAGTATCTTTCTAGGAGGAGGGTGAAAGGACCAAACATGTTACTGCCTAGGGCGCCCACAATAGGCTTAACACCGATCATGAAGACAGCAGTAATATAAGTCTGATGCAGTTTAATTTTAGGATTAAAAACTGCGAAACTTTTCTATATTGTGGACCTTTTGATTTGGATTTTAAATAGCCTCGTGGTTCCGTGAAAAATATATTATTCCTGAGAGAATTAAACGCATATTTCAATATAGATTAGTTCAGCTTTTTAGATCAACTTAGAATACCTCAACTGTGTAAGTGGATAGCAACTAAATCTGCTGAAAATTACAATAAATATATGAATCCTCCAATAGATCAACAAACAATACAGAAATACTGGGACAACGTTTCAGATATCCAATTTCTCCATTTTTTTATGAATTTGATTGCTAGTTTTATTCTTTAAGAGACTAAGGGAAGGGCCATTTATTTGGTAGCCTTATTTTCTGAACAACATTTTACAACTAAATCTTAACATTAATGATTATAACCAATATAAACTATTTCATTTGTAAAGTTAAAGTTAGAAAAGCTTAGCACAAAAAGTGCTAAGAAAATTTTTCTAAAGATTTAGAAAACCTTAATGAAACACAGCGTGTAACTCACTTATCCATAGTCTAATATAGACTTTCTTATTCATACAGTCTTGTGAAATGCAACTTTTTCTTTCTCATTCATGTAGGTCAACTTAATTGCTTATTAAAACAATCCAACATAGACTAACTTATCTGTATTGTTCCACACACACTATATATATAAGCCATACAGCTCTGAACACAACGGATCAGACGTGAACTAGTGGTTAGCATATCCGGACTGTGAGTTCGAGAATTCATGATTCGCGACCTTTTGTCTCTTAAACGCACACCGCACTTTAGTGTCGTAGGTGCGCTTTAAGTATGACGTTCAAATCCCACATCTCACTGTTCGATCATAACACAAGAGTTGGCAATGATGCTGTTTACTAGTTATCTCCCCTTTTAATTTATCTGTTCAAAACTGGAGAATATACATTATCTTACCGATAGAATAGATAATACTGAGGGCCATAATATGCATCGTAATCACAAGTTTAAATTAGGAAATTCTGAAAAAGAGAGAGAAACAAAAAAAAGTAAAATTGAACACAATAATACAGTCGTACAGTTTAATTCAGTGTTTCACATAAAAGTATCAATTGCAGAATCCTTCCCTTCTGCGAATTTAAACTTCATGAAAGTTGTTTTGGTTATGGTAGCGGATTTTCCATAATTCAGTTACGTAGATTTCGAAAATAACATTCATTTCTTTCTATCACTTAATGGGTTTTTACAAATCTGGAAGAAAAACCCTTACTTAGATCAAATTATTATTTCGTTTACCACAATGAACATTTTTTATTGTTATGTTTGTTAACAAAAATACAAACAAACTGAAGAAAAGGGAAGAACATTGATGTCAAACGAATATACATCCTGATTTTTTGTATGAAATCTACGTCTTTTAGTCTCAAAACTACGTGTTGTTGTCTTTCTTTTATGTATTGCGTTATGACGTTTTGTAAAAAATCTGTACGTGATGGAGAAAAATGAATATCGTTTTCGGATTTAGCGTACAGGAATTACTGTAGAATATGTAAAAATTTCAAGACGATAAAACCATCGCAGGCCTGTGATAATTCAACCGTGTAGCATTATATTTCAATGTAGACTGAACTTTTCACAACCACCATTGTGCATGGCTTGACCTAGTTATTATTAATTTCAAGTTTGCTCCTGTTGCGTCTAGCTGGTTTATGATGATGATTACTATTTTTTAGTTATTCACCACCGCGTATTCCGACATCATGCGCAAAAGTATTGTATTCACCAGCAAAACACCTAAAGTCTTCTACTGTCCCCAGGAAAAAACACCAGGGATGGAAAAGATGGTCGTTATGGCTAAGCCATTGGATAAACTGTGCGAATTTGAAGGAAAAGGTGTCCCGAAGGACTATCAATCAGATTGTTACAATGACATAGATGAGACGGAATACGCATGCGCAGAAAAGCATCGTATCATGGTAAGGCTAACTTTATCGTAAATTTTTGTTTGTGTGTGTGTATGTCTTGTTATACAGAAAAATATTCTGATGTAAAACTAGCAAGAAAAAAAATGTTTATGAAACGTAAAAAAATAACAGCTAATCCAATATTTGGGGACTTTTGTGTCCTTTATTTTTACAGGAATGTCTATACTTTAAAACTTCGGATGATTAACTTGTATATTACCTTACTGTTTAATTATTGTGTCAAATCGAAAACATAATAGGGTTACTAAATTTTAATGTTTGGTTTCACTTTATCCCTGTCACAGATATGTTTAAGACATGAACTTCGGACAAAAGGACTTTTTTCCGAGTATTTATAATTTTGAACATTTAAAACAAAAAGGAAATAATTAAGTACAAATAAAACTACAATACAAATTACAGTATTGGAATGATAAAATGTATTTTAAAAAGAGGAGTATCTGAGGAAGCAGGCCCTCACAATGGTGGAATTACAAAACCTCACAAAATCCTATGTCTAAAACTACCATTCACCACCTGTAGCCAATTGTGAGAAGGTATGGTCCCCCCCCCCCAAAAAAAAGAAGAAATATAGACCAATATGGGTAATAATAGAAATTTATATCCTGACGTTGAAGTAGATTTTATGTAATGTATAAATTGTTGGTGAAATAGTAGTAGAATTCGCGTAAATAACATTGTTTTTATTTTTGATTTTGTAAATACAGCTGTCTGATGGAAAATAACTTTCCTCAACAAGTGCCAAAATATATTATATATTTAAGTTGTTTCTTAAATATGATAAAAATTGATTTGTTTTTATACTGATTTGTTCTAGAGAGATATTTAGGTCAGACAAACACACCTATTATATATTCTGAGAATTATAATTTATATATTTTAAGTAATATAACTATATATATATTACAGATGCACTTAAACCCACCAAGCGTGACAGACACCAGCACGACTGGAGCACATGCAAACTCTCACTCTGGCGGTAACTCTAAGAATTACTGAGCAGACGACAGAAATAACAAGATTGTTGTTCACCTGTTTGAGATTTCGACATCTTTATGAGGCAGCTATCTTTCAGTTGTATATTAAATAGTGTCTGGAAGTCACGTTAACAAAATTATTTACTCGCAGTCTTAAATTTGTTCACATAATTTCCAAACACACTTGGAATAAATTTAGCAGTTTTTTTTATACATACTGTTAATCCAGTTTATTTATTTAATTAATATTTTACTTAAATGAAATTTAAAGTTATTTACACTGCAATATGCAAATATACCTTAAAATGCTGTAGCTGAAGTAGGAACTTTAATTTTTCTAAACAATGAAACGTCCACTGTAAGACTAAAACTACAGGATATTCTAAAAAAAAAGCTACACTGTATTCTCTATTAGTTGTCGTGTTGCTTGTTCTTTGTTTTTGTATGTGTTATAATAAAAGCTACACTGTCTTCTCTATTAGCTGTCGTATTGCTTGTTCTTTGTTTTTGTATGTGTTATAATAAAAGCTGCTCTGTCTTCTCTATTAGCTGTCGTATTGCTTGTTCTTTGTTTTTGTATGTATTATAATAAAAGCTGCTCTGTCTTCTCTATTAGCTGTCGTATTGCTTGTTCTTTGTTTTTGTATGTAATTATAATAAAAGCTACACTGTCTTCTCTATTAGCTGTCGTATTGCTTGTTCTTTGTTTTTGTATGTGTTATAATAAAAGCTGCTCTGTCTTCTCTATTAGCTGTCGTATTGCTTGTTCTTTGTTTTTGTATGTATTATAATAAAAGCTGCTCTGTCTTCTCTATTAGCTGTCGTATTGCTTGTTCTTTGTTTTTGTATGTATTATAATAAAAGCTACACTGTCTTCTCTATTAGCTGTCGTATTGCTTGTTCTTT